GTTGGGGGCAATATGCTGACTCTGTAAACCACTTAGAGAGGGCTGAAAGCCCTATGAAGTGGTATATATGTCTAACTGCTATTGCTATTGCTATTTCTGAAAATGAATCCATTGTCAGAAGCCCATTTTTCCAGCACAATTTCAGGAATTTTCTCCTATCCTGCTCCCAGGCCATGAGAGTTTCATCCTTACACAGCCTCAGCATTAAAAAAAATACAGCTCCGTCTCCTTGTATTTCTCTTATTGACTGATTGAATAATCTCTGCCATGGAGTCTTCATTTAGGAGATTTATTCATTTGTATCTTTATATACAGGTGGGAGGAATAACTTCCCAATTGTTCCATGAATCCTGAATGGTCCTTCCATGATCCATATCTGAAACTGCACAGTTTCAGATATGGATCATGGATCCTCCCTTTAAGACATGAGACCATAACTGGAAAGCTTCTTCCCCTACAGACCACATGACCTTGGGAAGATGAATGAGCTAAAACCATCTTTCCTACTATCCCTTTCAATAGAATTTGCATTGCATTCATTTGCTCTTTCAAAGCACATATTCTGGGAACAGGGAGAAATTAAATTCTGCTCCAAAAATGCTCCTAAGATGATGCTCACCTATCAAAAGTTATCCCCTTTCCAACAAATACCAATGGAGCTTCTTTGGGGTTGCTGCTGCCTTGGTAATGGACTTCCAAAAAGACTGGGGGTTCATCCGAGCCTTTTGTCACACTCCAAAATGAGCCCATTCCTTGCTCCTGTATCCAAGATTTATCTCTGTAATGACAGGGAACAATTTCCATTATTTCTTTCCCAGTTACTGAAAGAGGACACACATTGCATTCCTGAATGCCACCTGGTCAACAAAATAATACCCCTTTCCTCAAATTTTAAGATGACAAAAAAGCACACACATAAAAAGAAAATAATATTAACCAGGTTTTCCTCTTATAACTATTCTGTGGACTATGATTCACATTTTTTGCTGGAAACCAGCATTTATTTCCAGTTTCATCGCTTAATGACTATAGAATTTACTTAATCTGTGCAGTTCCTTAATGACCACCACAAAAATGGATATAAAAAACACAGATCCAGTCACAGGGTGATCTGTTCTCAAAGCTCTGACTAATGAACTCAAGCAAATCAGAACTCTAAAACTTGGCTCTTTCTCGAAGGTCTTCTTTAAAAAAAACAAAAAACAATTTTTATTTGTTTTTAAACAAAGACAAAAAAAAAACGATCTTCCATTAGAAATTGTAGAAAGTGTGTCAGTTGGTTACAGTATTTCCATGCACCCCATACCATAGTCCAATAATAATTGATTTTATTATATTTATTATATTTGATTTTATTATATTTATT